TCCTAAAAGGTAGTCGCGTGAAGCGGACTCCGATACAGTGTAGAGCGCATTACCTCAAATTTGAACTCCATATTCAGCGCTAAAGGTCTGTCAGTTATCAAATACACCACCACGGGAAAAAACATATTCCTTAATCCCTCATTATAACAGTTCAAATAAAGCCTACCCTACTAAATAGACTCATATCCTGTACATTTCCCCACACACAGCCAAAAACAAATTCAACTGTTATTCAAAGAAAATAAAAGGACACAAACAGTTTTGTATTTTCCATTCAATTAACTTTATTTCACAATTCTTACATTTAAAATGTGTTCATTACTTTTAATACCACACACAATATCAACTTGCTAAAACAATAGAAAATAACATAAGATCCATATGGACCTAAATATTTATATTATGTACATACACTCAAGTCTTTGGAGGTAAACCTCTTCAGCTCTCTATGCAGCACATTCTCAGCTCTGACATCCATCTTCTTAAAGGGGCATCCCAATCAAATCTACAATTAAATTCAATGTGACCAGACATTTGGAAAAATAAGGCTCACTTCCGTTTTGTTGATTTTCTGTTTGTTTTTTTGATTATTTATTTAAGTACAGATTCAGTTTCAAAATAATGTACCATACACTGCAATGTGAAATTATTTGTTATTAAACCTTATGGCTATTTGATAAGACTAAATATCAGGCAAAGTAGCATCCTGATTTACAGATCAGAAATGCAAATGGTGTCTTATTAAATTATATGAAAGTGTTTTAGGCATGTGATTTAGGCATGTTTTAAAAGTGAAGTAGGCAAAAAAAAAAGACATTTGGACAAAAATATGATTTTTGTTTTGTTTTAAAACGGCTCTCATGTAGGCCAAATTACATTTTTCTCATGTAAAGAAGAACATCAAATTGTAGATTGATCATTGGATTGGTCCTCTAAGTGCTGCTTGCTGTTCAGTACCCAGGTGTTGTATCAGGCTTCTCAGGCAGATGGTCAGCTGAGCTTTATGTGGGGGCAAACTTCTTGGCCTGCGCCCTCACCCTCTTCTCATAGTCCATTCTGTTCTGACTAAAAGAGGCAACAAAGTGGGATTAGTCCATTATGAAATAGAGTATAATAATAATATGCCATTTAGCAGACGCTTTTATCCAAAGCGACTTACAGACATGTGTGCATACATTTTTTTGTGTATGGGTGGTCCCGGGGATCGAACCCACTACCTTGGTGTTACAAGCGCCGTGCTCTACCAGCTGAGCTACAGAGGACCACAGTATCACCTAACAAGGCTATACTTTCAGTTTAACAAAGTGAGATTGTGTATGTTTGCAAGTGTCTTATAAAGCACATTAAGAGCCCCTTTACCAGTATAAATTATACAGTAGAACATTCAAAAAGAGAAAAAAGTATCTCTCAACCGAAACTCACCAGTAAATTGTGTAGGCTTCTGCTTGTGCTGGGTCTTGGATGTTGGGTTCATTGAGAAGCTCTTGGATACCCAACAGGATCTGTGAATACAAAACAGATGAAGTCAGCTTTTAGAATGAATTGAAATGCAAAACAATGCAGATCAGAACACAATCACTCAACCAGGGAGTACCATGCTTTGATCCACATAAAAAATACAGTAATTTGATGCCTGTTGAGCCAATGTCGTGCATTCCTCTAAACCGGTGAAATCACTGATGCCTCTCCAATTGTTTATGTATTTGTGTGTATATGTGTATATATGTGCCTGTTTGATGGTGATAGCTGGCCTCCAGTCCTTCTCCTCCTCCAAGATGGAAAGACACACCGTGCCAGATGGGTAGACATTGGGGTGGAAAATGGGCGGCTCAAACTTGCCTGAGAGGAAATAGAATAGATGATTTGTGTTGACTTCCTTATCATCGATATAAAAAATGACTTGGAACAAAACACTGCACATTAGGGGTGTTAAAATGTTTAAATAAAATTGGGATTGGTAAAGTTAAGAAAAAAATCCCTAACCGTCACAAAACGACCAATAATAGGTCCCGATCATCCTCATAAAGGAAATAATAACAATTAAAGAAATACCTAAATTAACAATGCTGGAACCATTTTTAAGCTACTTTATTGACTGGAGCTGTAATTAACCGGAGCTGTAATCAATGACTGTATGAGAGTAGCAGCTCAAGTAAGCAGCGGGGAGGGGCCATGCGGTGTGAGTCTGAGTGACGAGGGGAACAGGGAGGGGAGAGAGATAGCAACCAAGTCGACTCGCGCTGGTAAACTAACTTATTGCTAGTTATTTATCATCTCATCTGATTACATAGTACCTATCTTGACTGCATCAAAATGAGAGAAACTAGTTAAGCCTGCTAGCTAGCTAACGTTAGCTAGGCTAATTGAGACTTTATAACTGTGCTTTCTCCCCTTCCAACTCTATTGACATTATTAAGTAGCAACCTACCTGTTGGCTCTTGGTGTTGTAGTCTGTCCTTCTCTTTTAACTTTTAGTTCTGTCATTTTAATTCCATCTTCCACTGATTAGCCTAGATATCTCCTAATAACTTGCCACACGGAGGCTCTAGTTCTATTACTATAGCCTAATGCCGGTTTGATGACTTGTAAGTGGTCGACAACAACAACCATCACTCTCCTGAAAGCAAGAGCAGCATGATACAACTTCCTTTCTCTCCCCCTGCGGGAAGCGCCATGTAGACCATCTGAATTCATGTGGAATTTTAAATGTTAAGAAAAATTGTCCATTTGTCACATCCCTACTGCACATCGATATTATCCAACAGCCAACAAATGGAAATAGATCAGACAGTGACAACACTTTCCTATTGAGGTGCCCATGTGCAGGTTTACTCACATTTTGGCGGCGAGGAAGGATAGTCATCTTTGAACAGCATTCGGAGTTTGTATTGGCCTCCCTCCCACAGTGTCTAGAGAATTGAAGAACATAGTTAATACATTCATTAAATGTTACAGCTCACGTGGGAGTGCAAACACACTATAAAAACCACCTTTACCTCCGAACACATCAGTTTGCATTTGTACTTGTGTTGGCCATTTTTTGATGTACTATAAGAAACACTATGATATCCGTTTACTCATTCTGACTGACTGGTAGTGGTTGTTGGGTCTTAGAATAAAAACTACAGATCGTGAAAGTTGACATACCCCCTTCTTCCCTGGAATGGCACATTCCCAGTTCATGAGGTTCATAGTGCCATCAGGATTTTTGGTAGGCACAGCAACAAAACCCTGAGAGAGAGAGGGAGGGAATGAGGTTTGAGGAACAAGCTTGCCTTCCCCAAATCATCAGAACAAGTTTATATTCATTGTTTGTATGGTAGCTACTCACAAATGGGTGGTCTTTCCTCCATGCTTTGCGCTCCTGTGACAGTCTGCTAAGAGCGATACCAGACATTTCTACTCATTAACACAGTCCTGTGGGGAGACAGAAAAACACTCAATTAACATGGCTAGGTAGCTACGCATCCTTGTTCTCTAGTGGTTTTGCTAACTAACATTGTTATTAGAAATGTCCATGATATACTATAGTTGGGTTAAGGGTTGGGGACTAACTGATAACATGTAATCAGTTACATGTAAAATGATTACACAACACCTCACTGTAATCAGTTACATTACAAGCTAAAAATATTGTAATCAGATTACAGACACTTTTAAAAAAACTAGATGGATTACTTTTAAATTCAGAAAGGATATTTGCGGATTTTTTATTTATTATGACTCCTTTGTTTTCTCAATGACATTCAATTCAGTTTAAGTTTGTTCCACCTGAACGAGTCTGAACACAAATCAGAGACCACTATGATGACACACCAAATGTGTATGATGACACACCAAATGTGTTTGTCTTCTTCTAATGCCTCTTAAGGGGAAAGTAATCCAAAAGAAACTGAAAGTAATCAGATTATATTACTGAGTCTGGGTAATCCAAAAGTTCCGTTACTGATTACAATTTTGGACAGGAAACTAGTAAATCACAGATTACATTTAGAAAGGGCCCAGCCCAGCCAGTAGTCTAGTGGTTAAGAGCCTTGGGATAGTAGCCAAAAGGCTACTGGTTCAAATCCCTGAGCCGACTAGGCGAAAAATCTGTCAATGTGCCCTTGAGCAAGACGCTTAACCTCAATTGCTGTGGATAAGAGCATCTGAAAAATGACTAAAATGTAAGTGTACAATTTTGACTTGCCATATTACTCATGAAAAATTCTTATGACATGAAGTTCAAATCAAATTGTATTTGTCACATGCGCCAAATACAACAGGTGTAGACCTTACAGTGAAATGCTTACTTACAAGCCCTTAACCAACAATGCAATTTTAAGAAAGAATACCAAAACAAATACAAAAAAAAACATTAAACAAAAAAAAAAGAAATAAAAGTAACAAATAATTAAAGAGCAGTAGTAAAATAACAATAGCGAGGCTATATACAGGGGGTACCGGTACTGAGTCAATATGCGGGGGCACCGGTTAGTCGACGTAATTGAGGTAATATGTACATGTGGGTAGAGTTATTATAGTGACTATGCATAGAAAATAAACAGAGAGTAGCAGCAGCGTAAAAGAGGGGTGGGGGGCAATGCAAATAGTCTGGGTAGCCATTTCATTAGATGTTCAGGAGTCTTATGGCTTGGGGGTAGAAGCTGTTTAGAAGCTTCTTGGACCTAGACTTGCCGTGCGGTAGCAGAGAGTACAGTCTATCACTAGGGTGGCTGGAGTCTTTGACCATTTTTAGGGCCTTCCTCTGACACCGCCTGGTATAGAGGTCCTGGATGGCAGGAAGTCAGCTTGGCCCCAGTGATGTACTGCTCCATACGCACTACCCTCTGTAGTGCCTTGTGGTCGGAAGCCGAGCAGTTGCCATACCAGGCAGTGATGCAACCAGTCAGGGTACTCTCGATTGTGCAGCTGTAGAACCTTTTGAGGATCTGAAGACCCATGCCAAATATTTTCAGTCTCCTTAGGGGGAATAGGTTTTGTCGTGCACTCTTCACGACTGTCTTGGTGTGCTTGGACCATGTTAGTTTGTTGGTGATGTGGACACCAAGGAACTTGAAGCTCTCAACCTGCTCCACTACAGCCCCATCGATGAGAATGGGGACGTGCTCGGTCCTCTTCTTTTTCCTGTAGTCCACAATCATCTCCTTTGTCTTAATCACGTTGAGGAAGAGGTTGTTGTCCTGGCACCACACGGCCAGGTCTCTTAACTTGAAAGCTAATTAACCTATTCACTAGCTAGCTATAAAGATTTTCCCTCATTAATTTTGGATAGCAATTAAGTGGATGGTGCATTGGACATATACCACAAACCCCCGAGGTGCCTTATTGCTATTATAAACTGGTTACCAACATAATTAGACCACTAAATAGTAATTTGTCATACATATGGTATACAGTCTGATATATCACGTCTTTCAGCCAATCAACATTCAGGGCTCGAACCACCCACTTTATAACTAAATGTATACCATGGCATTGTTGAATACTCGTTTCTGATTGGCTTGAGGGGTGTGCATTATTTCCCTAAAATGCATGGTAGAATTAAATGGCTATTTCAATCTTACACCTTCTATGTTTGAGCTGCTTTTGAACGCAAAAGTCGAATTTAAAACATTATTGGCATTGTTGAATTCGATTTTCATATTAGCAAGCTAGGACTGATGGTTAGGTTAGCTAAACTAGCAAATCTGTTTGTAAAGTTACCAAGGCAACTACTGTAGCTATGTAGTAAACTTGCTAACTACTTCAGTGGTGTTGAACACATTTCTACCTGCAAATGAACACATTTCTAGCAGCTAATGTGTTAATTTATAGCCATGGTATAAAAGGGACAATCAACTAGGGGCTCTATGCGTTCTCTGGAAAATAATGCAACTCCGTGGAAGGTGTGTTACACGACGCGCTAGTTCATTATTTTCCATAGAACGCATAGCCCCTCGTTGATTAACCCTTACATATGGCTCTGGTTATTGGTATTGTCAGTAGCTGGCTAGCTACGCAGCTAGCAGTCTAATTAGCAAACAAATCATCAAACTAGCCAACCAACTTACATCCACCCACCTGTAAGCCTAGCTAGCTAATGTATTAAAGTTCGTTTACAGGTCATTGGTTAGTTGCTTACCTTAAAATCAAATTGATACTGGCTAGATGGCGTTCGCTTGTTGGTGTTTGTTAACGCTAACGTTAGCTAGTTAAAATTAGCTAGGGGGTGGCTAAAAACAATGAGCTTGGTCCGTGGCTCGGTCGCCTATTTTCTTTACTATCAAAACTAGCTAAAGCTGACGATGCTTTCGTGCTAATAATTCGACCAAGTTAGTTCCCCTGACATAAATCAATAGATTGAGAGATTTCCTTATCCGTTACCGTATATATGAATACCTGAACGATAGCATTCCGCTAGCTAGCTCGCTAAAGAAAGAGGACCTCAATTTGTTTATCTCGACATAACCTACAGGCACTTCGCAGGGCACATTTCTTGGCCTTTCTTTTCGGCCATCTTTGGTGTGGCGTCGTGTTGGCTTCATCTGGTGTTGTACAATTGTTTGGAGATATATTATATATATCGACACTTTTTATCAATTAACCAATCTTTTCTGAGTCAAGATCACTTTGAGTCAAAACGCAAGCCGAGATCTACAGCTCAGATTTTTAAAACATTACTTAAACGTAAGCCAATGCAACGTTAACCAATTAAAAACAGTTCTGTAGCATTGAGGTTTGTGCAGTAGGCTATATGCCTAATACATTATCACTGCATATTGGCTATGCTTGAATTGCCCTGCCAATGTTGTTCTTATCAGACCATTTTGAAATTATATATATTTTTAAGTAGGTATATGATCACACTGGTAATGGATAAGTTGTTGTATTACATGTGAGGCACATCTAAGTGAGCATAAGAATGAGCTTTTTTTGGACTGATGGCCTGCATCTGATGGTCAGTCTGAGGAGAAGGAGGGAGAAACTGTGAGGCTGCCTCTCACCCGATTCACCATCCCTCCACTGAGAAAAAGGGGACAGTCTTCCAGCTGATCGCGAAACTCAAGTCACATTATTTCTGCCTCATTCACCAATTAATGTTGTTACTGTGATGACCAGAGAAAGTGAAATATTCCTACATATTAAAAAGGACACAAGCCGCTAATAACAACAACGCAAGCTTATCAGAACACTGCTATACTAATTAATTGCAGCTGCAGTGTTGGTGGTAGCGTGTGGAAGTATGGAGAACGTGCAATTTATGGCTTATAAAGGTGTTGAACAAAATGTTGTCAGTGCTGAATAACGAAGGTTACTCACATAGCCATGGTTCTATGAGCTAGGGACTATACAAGTCACTCAATGGGATATCCTTCCTCCTGGCAACAGGATGAGTCGAGATATTAATATCAGAGTAATTCCGTGCCACGGATGTGATGTGTGTGCCCCCACCCCCTATTAATACCTGGGCGCATAGCATCACTTTCTCAAGACTCTTCCCGAGGCTACAAGGGAACCGATATCAGGACTAGCATAGTCCCTAGCTCATGGAACCGTGGTTACGTGAGTAACCTTCGTTCTATTTTCCTTGAGGGACTATGCTAGTCATTCAATAGGATGACAATACCGGAGTAAGTTGGTTCCTGTAGGGCACAGCCTAGAGCAACACCTCACTATAGGTGTTCGAGACAGTACCCGGTCCATCCACAGGACACTGTTGGGAGGGAAGGGCAGCATCAAGCACAGCTGAGCTCACACCGTGAGGGTCAGCCACAATCACCCGGTAAAACCTTGCAAAGGTACTGGGGGGATGCCCAGCTGGCAGCCGCACATAATGTCAGAGAGGGGGACTCCGTTAAGCAGTGCCCAGGAGTTGGCAACTCCCCTGGTGGAGTGTGCTACCACAGAGGATGGGGCTGGGTGGCCAGCGAGGCTATATGCTTGCAGGTTTGTGTCTACAATCCAATGTGACAACCGTTGTTTTGAGAGGGGCTTACTTTTTATTTTATTTCACCTTTATTTAACCAGGTAAGCCAGTTGAGAACAAGTTCTCATTTACAACTGCGACCTGGCCAAGATAAAGCAAAGCAGTGCGATAAAAACAACAACACAGAGTTACATATGGGGTAAAACAAAATATAAAGTCAAAAATACAACAGAAAATATATATACAGTGTGTGCAAATGTAGCAAGTTGTGGAGGTAAGGCAATAAATAGGCTATAGTGCAAAATAATTACAATTAGTATTAACACTGGAATGATAGATGTGCAAGAGATGATGTGCAAATAGAGATACTGGGGTGAAAATGAGCAAAATAAATAACAATATGGGGATGAGGTAGTTGGGTGGGCTAATTTCAGATGGGCTGTGTACAGGTGCAGTGATCGGTAATGTGCTCTGACAACTGTTCGTTCCAGTCATTGGAAGCAGAGGACTGGAAGGAATGGCGGCCAAATGAGGTGTTGGCTTTGTGGATGACCAGTGAGATATACCTGCTGGAGCGCATACTACGGGTGGGTGTTGCTATGGTGACCAATGAGCTAAGATAAGGCAGGGATTTCCCTAGCAGTGATTTATAGATGGCCTGGAGCCAGTCGGTTTGGCGACGAATGTGTAGTGTGGACCAGCCAACAATAATAATAATAATAATAATAATATGCCATTTAGCAGACGCTTTTATCCAAAGCGACTTACAGTCATGCGTGCATACTATTTTTTGTCTTTTTGTTTTTTTTGTTTTGTATGGGTGGTCCCGGGGATCGAACCCACTACCTTGGCGTTACAAGCGCCGTGCTCTACCAGCTGAGCTACAGAGGACCACAAGAGCGTACAGGTCACAGTGGTGGGTAGTATATGGGGCTTTGGTGACAAAATGGATGGCACTGTGATAGACTACATCCAATTTGCTGAGTAGAGTGTTGGAGGCTATTTTGTAAATCGCCGAAGTCAAGGATTGGTAGGATAGTCAGTTTTACGAGGGCATGTTTAGCAGCATGAGTGAAGGAGGCTTTGTTGTGAAATAGGAAGCTGATTCTAGATTTAACTTTGGATTGAAGATTCTTAATGTGAGTCTGGAAGGAGAGTTTACAGTCTAACCAGACACCTAGGTATTTGTAGTTGTCCACATACTTTAGGTCAGACCCGTCGAGAGTAGTGGTTCTAGTCGGGTAGGCGGGTGCCAGCAGCGTTCGATTGAAGAGCATGCATTTAGTTTTACTAGTGTTTAAGAGCAGTTGGAGGCTACTGAAGGAGTGTTGTATGGCATTGAAGCTCGTTTGGAGGTTTGTTAACACAGTGTCCAATGAAGGGCCAGATGTATACAAAATGGTGTCGTCTGCGTAGAGGTGGATCTGAGAGTCACCAGCAGCAAGTGCGACATCATTGATATACACGGAGAAAAGAGTCGGCCCAAGAATTTAACCCTGTGGCACCCCCATAGATACTGCCATAGGTCCAGACAACAGGCCCTCCGATTTGACACATTGAACTCTATCTGAGAAGTAGTTGGTGAACCAGGCGAGGCAGTCATTTGAGAAACCAAGGCTATTTAGTCTGCCAATAAGAATGCAGTGGTTGACAGAGTTGAAAGCCTTGGCCAGGTCAATGAAGACGGCTGCACAGTACTGTCTATTATTGATCGCGGTTATAATATCGTTACCATGTACTCTATCTCCAAAGCACACAAACAGCTGATCAGAGCGACAGATCCCCTGAGTCCACTCCACGTACACGTTTAGGGATCTCACAGGACACAGCGCGTACATCAACATCATGAGCCCCAAGGGGCATGGAGGTGGACAAGGCTGTTAGCACCATTTCCCTGTTCACGTGACCTGGGAGCAGGATCTTTGGTAAGAAGGCAGAATTAGGCCGCAGAGGAACGCTCGCCTTACCCGGGCCTAGATGATAACACTCATCACTAACAGATAAAGCATAGAGCTCGCCTAACCCTCTTGATAGAGGAGATGGCCACCAGAAACACAGTCTTAAGAGAGAGATGTTTCAAGTCTATAGCGTCTAACGGTTCGAAGGGAGGTCTGGAGGGGGCTCTTGAGGGGCGTAATCGACGGACTCCCTTAAGAAACCTTGCCATGAGCGGATGGCTGCCAAGTGGACCATTCTGCTCTTTATCATGGCATGCTGAAATGGCTGCTATACCTTAAGTGTGGATGCAGCCCTGGTAGCATTAAACAAAGACCTCAAGAACTGGAGCACAGTTTTTATGCCGCAAGATTCTGGAGCAACCCCCTGCTCCCCACACCACTGGCAAAACATGTGCCACCCTGTGCCATAGGTTGACGTGGTAGACTGGGCCCTGGCACTCTGTAAGATGTTAACAACAGAGGGCTCAAGATCTAAACCAGACCATTTTAGCTGTTTAGCGGCCAGACCCACAGCTGCAGGCAGGAGGGATTTGGATGCCACAATGTGCCTGTGACAATAGGTCCGGCCTCCGTGGTAGTTCCCATGATGTCTCCGCTAGGAGTGACAGTATTGTGCTTAACCAGTGGCATCTCGGCCATCTCAGGGCAAGTAGAAGGACCTGGTGGCCCGCTTCCCTGATTCTTTCCAGAGTCCCTGGAATCAGCAGGATTGGGGGGAAGGCGTATAGCCTCTTCCTCGGCCACTCGTGGGCCAGGGCATCTAAGCCAAGTGGCCCGGGGGGGTTGGATATTGAGAACCAGAGGGGGCACTGTGTGTTCCTCTCTTAGGCAAACAGATCCATCTCCACTTCACTAAAGAATCCCCACATGCGACTCACTATTCAGGGATGTAATCGCCACTCCCCTTCCGGACGGCCTTCCCTGGACAGCATGTCCGCTGCAGTGTTCAGGATCCCTGGGAGGTGTAAAGCTTTTAGTGAGGCCAGATTCTTCTGTGACCACAGCAGAAGGGTATGTGCCATCTGGTGGAGGCGGATGGTACCCAGACCCCCTTGGTGGTTTATGTACGCTACCACTGTGGTGCTGTCTGTCTGTACCAGCACATGTTTGTCCCGCCGTTGTGGGAGAAATTTGAGCTGTGCTAGTTGGACTGCTCAACTCCAGCATGTTGATGTGGAGTTTGGACCAGCTGGGGCTCCATGTCCCGCTGGCCGCCCTCCCCCTCAATACTGCTCCCCAACCTGTCAAGGAGGCGTCTGTTTGAACTAGTTCCTGCCAATGGACTTTGCCCAGGCGTATCCCGCCTGAAGGAATTTCAGGGATCGCCATCTTTTCAGTGCTCGTGTGCATTCCTTGGACACAATCAGGCGACAATACCTGTGTTCCTTGGGATGTAAACCCTGATCATTGAACCACCTCTGCAGGGGTCTCAAGTGTAGAAGGCCCAATGGGGTCAAAAGAGAGGCTGCGGAGAAGAGACCCATCAGGCTCTGACACTGAAGAACAGTCACCTTCTGGTCTTGGACAAAAGGATTGAGGTGAACTACAATTTTCTGGACTCACTCTTCGGTGAGGTGAGCCCTCATTAGAGACGAGTCGATCTGCATGCCCACGAACATTACAGTTTGTGTGTGGACCAGGTGGCTTTTTTGCATGTTCAACCTGAGGCCAAGCTCTGAGATGTGCTTCAGGAGAGATGTAGTGTCTGCTGCTGCCTGTTCTCGTGTCTGAGTGCAGATTAGCCAATCGTCTAGGTAATTTAATACTATCATCCCTTGTTATGTTAGGGGTGCTAGAGCGCCCTCCATGCGTTTTGTATATGTTCTTGGTACCAGGGAGAGGCCAAAAGGTAACACTTGGTATGCTATGCCGTTGAATGCAAAGTGTAGGTTCTTCCTGTGAGCCGGGTGGATCGGTACGTGGAAGTAGGCATCTTTTAGGTCGACAGTGGTGAACCACTGGCCTGTAGGATGGATTGGCTTGATGGGCACTTCTTACGTACCATACGGTCAAGCTGCTCCCACAACAGTTCAATAGGGTTGAGATCCGGTGACTGTGCTGGCCACTCCATTATAGACAGAATACCAGCTGACTGCTTCTTCCCTAAATAGTTCTTGCATAGTTTGGAGCTGTGCTTTGGGTCATTGTCCTGTTGTAGGAGGAAATTGCCTCCAATCAAGCGCCGTCCAAAGGGTCTGTTTCCAAACTAGACACTATAATGTATTTGTCCTCTTGCTCAGTTGTGCACCGGGGCCTCCCACTCCTCTTTCTATTCTGGTTAGAGCCAGTTTGAGCTGTTCTGTGAAGGGAGTAGTACACAGCGTTGTACGAGATCTTCAGTTTCTTGGCAATTTCTCACATGGAATAGCCTTCATTTCTCAGAACAAGAATAGACTGAAGAGTTTCAGAAGAAGGTTCTTTGTTTCTGGCCATTTTGAGCCTGTAATTGAACCCACAATTGCTGATGCTCCAGATACTCAACTAGTCTCAAGAAGGCCCATTTTATTGCTTCTTTAATCAGCACAACAGTTTTCAGCTGTGCTAACATAATTGCAAAAGGGTTTTCTAATGATCAATTAGCCTTTTCAAATGATAAACATGGATTAGCAAACACAACATGCCATTGGAACACAGGACTGATGGTTGCTGATAATGGGCCTCTGTACGCCTATGTAGATATTCCATTACAAAATCTGGCGTTTCCAGCTACAATAGCCATTTACAACATTAACAATGTCTACACTGTATTTCTGATCAATTTGATGTTATTTTAATGGACAATAAAATTGCTTTTCTTTCGAAAACAAGGACATTTCTAAGTGACCCCAAACTTTTGAACGGTAGTGTATTTGTGAGGAGAGGTCCTGAGAACAGACTGGCCAAGTGAGGCACGTGTGCTCTGAATCTCACTCCGGCAACAGCTGCAGCTCGAGCCAGTAAGAGAGTATGCTAGCTAGGATGTGAAGCCTGGACGTTAAGGTGCGACTCGGTGATCACCGTCCTACTTCTGGAGAGCAACCGGTGTTTAGCTCGAGCTAGATAACACAGAGTCCCTAGCCTGGGTAAGCGCGGTACCCAGCCTCAAACTCCAGAGAGAAGAGGCTAGCGTCCAGCAGAAGCTAACAAGCAACAGGTAATGCAATTAGCCGGGAGGCTAACCGGCGGACAGACACAGACAAGACAACTAAGCCTCGCAACGTGAACAGGTTGGCCCAACCCGTTCAGCCTACTTCGTAGCACGATGTCGACCTGTAAGAAAAAACTTAACAGATGACAAAACACTGCAGAGCACTCCTTGGAGGAGTGTAAAAAGTAGACACGTTGGACATTGAAGTCTTCACGTTTACTTCTTGTCTAACCAAAGGTAAATATTTACCCTGAATAAGCAAAAGTTGTACAAAGACAAAGTTGTACAAAGGACTACTGTCTATGGTAACAATTGTCATACTTCATACTTTGAAAAAAAGACAATACAGAGAACTTTGTACAGTAGGTGCCATCTTTTTATTGTACAAATTAAACAAAGTGACATCCTGCAGTCGAACTGACAGAAACTTCTGTTAATACTAAAACCAAACTGCACTTAGAAAAAACCCTTGACATTTCCTGGGCCTACATCTCATAACAAGGTCACATCAAGGCAACTACATAAAAAGTACATTTTCATGGTGCATTTTCAACAAGTCTCAGTTTAAAAGTCGCTTAGAAAATGTCTGGCAGTGGCAACATCAACAAGATAACGTTGCCAGGCTGCAAGCACCTAAGTAGGAGCGTACAACTCATCCATAGTCCAGTTCTAACCTGAATACCTCAAACATCCCATCCTTCTAATCTATATTAATAGATTAATATAGCATAGTTTGTAACACCTTTATTGGACATCATGAATAGATACATAGGCATACTGTATTCATGGTCTCTTGAACGTTGACCTCTTTCACACCGAGCCATTCATACAACTCAGCCAAAATCTTCAGTCAAAATCAATAAAACCCTTCATATTTTGTGCAATCTGTAACTTATTTTGTGAATCATAGTGTCCCGTCCCTGCTACTGAGCTGTAACTAATTCAACAGTATTTCCCTTAGTGCTCATCTCCACATCACACTTGCTTTCCCTTGCCCTCAGAGATGACATGCTCAGGAGCAGCCCTTTTGAACCATTCAGACCATGACCCGTCATATACAGACACCGACCCTGAATGTCCCAGCAGGTGAGCAGCCAGAACCACATGGCATGCAGTGACCCCTGACCCACAGGTTACCCAGAACGGTTTCTCCAAGTCCAACCAGCCTCCCGGAACATTTTTGCCAGCACTTCAAGCTCCAACTCCTTGCCTGAGGCATCCATGAACTTGGCAAAAGGCATGTTGATAGTACCAGGAATGTGGCCAGGCTCAGTGTCTGTGTGTGAGAGAAATAAATAAAATGATAAGGAGAGTGAAAGAAGGAAGATCAGATTTGATAAAAAATGAATGTGCAAAATATAATGTTCTGACATTTAATAAATCATATTAGCAAAAATGTATAATACCATCAAATGTAATCAATTCTAGGAGGAAAAAATACATCTTTGCATATGCTCCTACTAACCATCTCTTGGTTCTGGTTCGGTTCCCCGGAACCTGCCGGCGGATCTTGCGTCAACCACTTGCACCTGTTTGGTCTCGATGTTTTTTAGCACATCTTCATACGACTTGACCCATGATTGATTGGCGGTCGCCTTGAAATCCGCATGTCCTGGCTTGGTGTATTCTGCAGTGACCGAATGCCCCTCGGCCAGCCAATTCTTCATACCACCGTCCAGGACCGACACAGAATTGTGCCCAAATAACCGGAACATCCACCACACGCGGGGTGCGCTGTATGACCCAAAATCGCTGGTATCGTACACTACTACATGTGTATCGTTTCCTATACCTAAACCCCCCACATACTCAGCAAAGTAGCTTGCAGTTGGGAGCATATGATCCATCGAGGAAGTTTTGTCGGAGCATTTGTCAATATCAAAGAACGAAGTTCCAGGTATGTGCTGTTCGTTAAATTCCGCGTTTGCATCGCGTTTTAATTTCGCTAGGTACCACGACGTATCCAGAATTCGAAGATTCGGTCCAATAAGGTTGTTTTTTATCGCATCTGCAAGCCATTGGGCTGAAACAAGCGCCGGGGTTTGCGCCGCCATGATCGTCCTGATCTTGCGCTCTGAATCAGGGTTGCCAGGTCAACAAAAATATTCTAAACCAATGACCACTCAAAACCCGCCCACAAGGCCTGAAAGTAGTGCCTTTTTTTTGCAGCAAGAGAGGAGTTGCCACGTTTAGCCAATAAACGCCTTTTCCATAACGTTATCGAGCGAATTAAGAAGGAATCAAAATTCGGGTTTCCATCAAAATAATAATTCTTGCAAGCTAATGTGACTAATAAAGGAATTGGAATATGTCGCAAGAGAAAATATTAATTCGCCCTTATTAACACTTTTCTGGCAAATGTGCCATTTTATGTGCTAGATGTTAAGACTACAAACCGTTATAAATGGCCTATTTTCGAGATAGCCTTGTCATTTCAATAGACATAGGCTAGGCCTACTGACTAAAATCTAGGTTTATGATTGTAATTCAACTTTACCATGGTTTGGATTAGCTAGATGCAGGTAGCCTATAGCCCCTGATAGGCCTACATCTAATTTCAGATAACCTACAGTAACCTAGGTAAAATGAACGATTTAGCAGCTTGCTTGGTTCAAATTGACAGAGTAATGTACTCAACATGAATAGTGAGGCGATTTCGAGGTGAGAAATGCTTCCGTTGCCCAATTATAGCCTACTGGAATAGGCTACTGAGGATGGGGTGGTAATTTCAATAACTGAATCAAATATTAATAATATGGATATGAACTGAATAGGCCTATGCTTGTCAACAACAGCATGTGTTTTTATTTCTTTTTACCTGTTGCCTAATCTGACTGACGGTTACCTTCAATCTAATGCATTTTAACAACAGCTGATCGGCAATTGCGATAGAACTGTGACCATGATCACAATTGATAACTTCCAATTTCATGAACTAAACATGGACATTAATAATGACATAATAACACAAGGCTACAACAACAATAAACTGAAGTTATAAACTATTGATTCAATCAGTTTGCCAGCTCCAGGTAGGCTACACAAGTGGCACAAATTGATTTGCAATGATTCCAGTGATATGGTCATTTCAACATATGTATTGTATAAAATCGTAGGCTACAGTAGCCCAGATAGGCATATAAATTAATAGGCTGATTGATGGCCAATAGATGCAAATGTATCATAATCAGTTTCATTGTGGACTTTTCCCCGTTCTATAACTTTCCCTTTCAAATGTCCACTTAGCACTTAGCGCCCAAACCCAAGAGCTGAGCATGCGTAAAATCCTTCGCTTGATATGGTTTTCCATAGAATGCATAGAATGCAGTTTAAGCGAATTTACCGTTATTTGTTGATGCGCATCATTTCTAGCGCGTTATTATGTTTTATGGAATAGGTGTCTCCATAATGACAATCTAAATAGCCTACATACAACTGGTAAAAAGTTGTCACGACGTGCGCTCGTGCTGCTCTGTCTCCACCACTCAGAAACAGGCTGCCTCACTGCCTGATAGTCAGCAGCAGCAAGTCACAGTGAAATATATATTTTTAAGAAATTGCCATGGCGGCCGCGGTGCAATTTAGAAGTAGCCCAAAAACCCGCAACTAGCGACCAATACATTTTTACCTGCGACATCGTCTTGAAAGTCGCCTACTTAAAGGAAGGAAATAGTCAACATGGCAACCCTTCTCTGAACTATTATGCGATTTGATTCATGCACGTGATACCGGTATGCCCCCTTCATTGGCTTTCATTTGCCCTTCATTCTGTAGGTCGTTTGTAGAACTGTAAAGGTGAACCATTTTGATTTCAGGTCTAATATTGTCGCACTTTTACCACACAATTATGTGACAGAATAGATAATGATTTCCAGCTATTTATCAAAATCTGCACATTTCTTGGAAAAATAACATCATGCAATATTGCATGTTTAGTGTTATTTCTGACCCATTTTATGCAGGCAACTTCAAACTTTCACCCCTGCATGTCCAACAAATCACCTGTAGAGGGAGTCCTTATGCATAATGTCACTTTTCTTCTATGTTCTATGTTTATACATACAATTTGGTATTTATTAGGATCCCCATTAGCCGCTGCAAAAGCATCAGCTGCTCTTGAATGATTTATCCTGTAATTTTATCGGCTGAGTGTGTCTTGAAATTCTTGACTGTTTTCTTGAAAATGTGTCTTTTTTTTTTTTAGGTGCTGCTGGCTAGTGGAAGGTTGCAAGTAAGAGGTACGTTTGCCATGTGGCTGTTGATTTAAGCTTGGAAGTTGCTGACGTTTTAGCTAGTTGAGATCATTGTTTTATTTTATATAAATATAAGTTACATTACATTTACATTACATTTTAGTCATTTAGCACTCTCTTATCCAGAGCGACTTACAGTTAGTGAGTGCATACATTTTTCATACTGGCCTCCCGTGGGAAACGAACATGTACAGAGTAGATGTGTCCAGAGTCTCCCTTTTCTTTTCAAGTGCATCAAATGACTGTTTAGTTAGTGTTTCCTGCGACCCTGCACCAGAACCTGTTTTTTGTTTGTTTCCACTGGTCCTGGGGCCCTTGTTAAGGTCAACGGCATCTTTGCCCAATATCAGGATATTTTAGCCCAAAACCTGGTTGCCTCTGCCAGAGGCTGATACTTGGCCGCAAGTGGATCTTCCAGCAAAACAATAACTCCAAGTACACATGAAAATTCATAAAGAAATGGCTAATTGACCACAAAATCAACATTTTCAAAGGAGCAACAGTGAGCGCTGTTACCTTCAAGTAGTTTTCGGTTTTGCTAGGGCATTGTGGACGGTATTTGGTATTTATTAGGATCCCCATTAGCCGCTACAAAAGCATCAGCCAGTCTTCCTGGGGTCCACATGAAACATGACATAATACATAGTATAGAACAAAACTGTTCGCTGTTCTGGCACCCCAATGGTGGAACAAGCTCCCTCACGACGCCAGGACAGCGGAGTCACTCACCACCTTCCGGAGACACTTGAAACCCCACCTCTTTAAGGAATACCTGGGATAGGATAAAGTAATCCTTCTACCCCCCCTTACCCCACCCCAAAGAGAAGAAGAAAACAAACATATTGTAAAGTGGTTACCCACTGGCTATAAGGTGAATGCACCAATTTGTAAGTCGCTCTGGATAAGAGCGTCTGCTAAATGACGTAAATGTAAATGTAATTAGTCAAGGACTGAAATACATACATTCAAACGTCCCACACAGCCTACATACCAGTACATACACACAATATCTAGGTCTAATTCATAGTACAGTGCAAATTACAATACAATATATATAAAAAGGCTGTGTCTCTTCACAGTCCCCTTTGTGCAGTAAGGTGTTCTTTTATCTGTTGTTTTTAAACTGGTTTTATTGTGTGGTGGAGAAATCAGAATTAGCTACGTAACATAGATAATTAAGATGTCTTATCTGCAGAATATGCTTATATGATTGAACTGTTGAACTCTTGTTATTAGAATGTCTCCTTTCGGACTCTGGTGTTGACAGCTGCACTTCCTCCCTTATATGGGCCTCAGTCACCTGGGGCCCAGAGAGGGAAGAAGTCAGGCTTTTCTATCACATGTCCCTGTTGTTATGCAGAATATCAGAAAGAGAATTGGGCAAAGGAGGTCAGAAGGAAACATTGTTTCCATATGTGAATATGTGTCTTTAACTATTGCAAACCATGTGAAGGGATGGCATGAGGAATGGGAACAAATCACTTGTCTCCACAATGTCTGTGTGTCAGTCACCCCCTCCTTTGGCCTTGGGAGATTGTTCTCTCCCCTGGTTCCCGTTCTAGCAAGGTGGAAACTAAGTAACAACAAATGTCCTTCTAAATTCTTTGTATTTGAGGCTAAGGTCTGGCACAGGACGTGTGGGGTTAGTGTCTGGTACCATTGTATGTTATCTCTGCGGTTGCACCTATGCTGACCTATCCTGAGACGGTATATAACCCAGAGGCTCACTCCACTCAGTGGGCTCTCACTCTATTCACTTCTGTGTGGGTATAGTGACCAGCTCCCTTATCAATGAGTTTTTAATGAAGTTAATATTCATGAGTCTCTAATGATTACTGGGAAAAAAAGATTAGTCAGCCACCAATGAGTTCTCCCCTTAAAAGGAGAGGCCTGTATTTCTCATAGTCTCAACTATAAGCAATTAGGAAAAAAATCAGAAATCCCATTGTAGGATTTAATGATATTGCAAATATGGGGAAATAAGTTTGGTCACTACAAACAAGCAAGATTTCTGGCTCTCACAGACCTGTAACTTCTTCTTTAAGAGGCTCCTCTGTCCTCCACTCGTTACCTGTATTAATGGCACCTGTTTGAACTTGTTATCAGTATAAAATACACCTGTCCACAACCTCAAACAGTCACACTCCAAACTTCACAATGGCCAAGACCAAAGAGCTGTCAAAGGACACCAAAAACAAAATTGTAGACCTGCACCAGGCTGGGAAGACTGAATCTGCAATAGGTAAGCAGCTTGGTTTGAAGAAATCAACTGTGGGAGCAATTATTAGGAAATAGAAGACATATAAGACCACTGATAATCTCCCTCGATCTGGGGCTCCACGCAAGATCTCACCCCATGGGGTCAAAATGATCACAAGAACGGTGAGCAAAAATCCCAGAACCACACGGGGGGACCTAGTGAATGACCTGCAGAGAGCTGGGACCAAAGTAACAAAGCCAACCATCAGTAACACACTACGCCGCCAGGGACTCAAATCCTGCAGTGCGAGACGTGTCCCCCTGCTTAAGCCAGTACATGTCCAGGCCCGTCTGAAGTGCATTTGGATGATCCATAAGAGGATTGGGAGAATGTCATATGGTCAGATGAAATCAAAATATAACTTTTTGGTAAAAACTCAACTCGTCATGTTTGGAGGACAAAGAATGCTGAGTTGCATCCAAAGAACACCATACCTACTGTGAAGCATGGGGTTGGAAACATCATGCTTTGGGGCTGTTTTTCTGCAAAGGGA